CCAGGAGCCAGGAGCTTCTTCTGGATTTCCTATGCTGGTTCAGAGTCCCAAGAATTTGGGCCATCCTCTACTGCTTTCCCAGGCCATAAGCAGAGAGCTAGATGGGAAGTGGAGCAGCCAGGACATGAACTGGCACCCTTATGGGATCCTAGTGCTTGCTATGTGAGAATTTAGCCATTGAGCCATTGCACTGGGCTCTACCTTATACTTCTTACAAAAAGCATCTAAAATATTGATTAAAAACTGCATGCAAATCACATCATCTACTTTCACTGGAGTAACAAGTTAGAAAGAATCCTGTGGAAAGTTCTTTCAGGATGAAAAGCTAGCAGTGCTGTATGCTAGTCTCAGTTTAGCACTATGAAAACTCAGATCATTTTCGGGCCTCAGTTTCCTCATCTGTAAAATGAGAAGCCTGAGGCAGGTGATCTTTAGAACTCCCTAACAAATCTAAAATCATGTCTCTAAGATATTTTGAGGTGTTATTTGGGTTTTGTTTGGTGGAAGATATATTGGCTTTTCTTTTTAAAAAGTTTATTTATTTCAAAGGCAGAGTTATAGAGAGAGGAGGAAAGACAGACATCTTCCATCTGCTGGTTCACTCTCCATATGCCACAATGGCTGAGCTTGGCCAAGCCAGAGTCAGAAGACAGGAGCTTCATCCAGGTGTCCCACATGGGTGCAGGGGCCAAATGGTGGAGCCATCCTCTGCTGCTTTCACAGGCACATTAGCAGGGAACTAGATCATAAGCGGCATATCTGGGATTGAACCAGCACCCACATGACATGCCAATATCAAAGGTGACAGCTTAATTCACTATACCACATTGCCAACCCCAAAACACCTTTGTATCTTGAAGAATTTTCTCAGAAGTAAGTTTTTCTTTCCTGACAAAATAGAATCATGGGGCCCGGTGCAGCGTGGCCTAGCGGCTAAAGTAACTTGCCTTGAACGCCCAGGGATCCCATAGGGGCGCCGGTTCTAATCCCAGCAGCTCCACTTCCCTTCCAGCTCCCTGCTTGTGGCCTGGGAAAGCAGTTGAGGACGACCCAAAGCTTTGGGACCCTGCACCTGTATGGGAGACCGGGAAGAGCTCCTGGCTCCCAGATTTGGATCGGCGCAGCACCGGCCGTTGCACTCACTTGGGGAGTGGATCATCAGACAGAAGATCTTTCTCTCTGTATCTCCTTCTCTCTGTATATCTGACTTTGCAATAAAAATAAATAAATCTTTTTTTAAAAAAAGAATCATGAGGGCCCGGCACGGTGGCGCAAGTGGTTAAAGGTCCTCGCCTTGCACGCCCGGGATCCCATATGGGCGCCGGTTCTAATCCCGGCAGCCCTGCTTCCCTTCCAGCTCCCTGCCCGTGGCCCGGGAAGGCAGTCGAGGACGGCCCAAAGCTTTGGGACCCTGCACCCGTGTGGGAGGCCCGGAAGAGGCTCCTGGCTTCGGATCGGCATAGTATCGGCCGTTGCGCTCACTTGGGGAGTGAATCATCGGATGGAAGATCTTCCTCTCTGTCTCTCCTCTCTGTATATCCGCCTTTCCAATAAAAAAAATAATAAAAATTTAAAAAAAAAAGAATCATGAAAGGCAACTTGGAAATAGAGACAAAAGAAAAAATCCGGAGGAAGGCATTCACAAAAGCATCATTTCATAAAGACAAGTTATTTATAAAGACAAGTTACTGATTTATTATCTCTCCACCAGCAACACTCCCATCCATCAGTGAACTTTCTCCAGAGAGACGTGAAAGATGCATCGAGTTGGCGCATTTGGACTTCAGCCCTATAAAGTCTTGACATGGTTAGAGGTTTTATCACAGCTACCACTTGGGAGCAAACCATTCATATTGTCAGGTGACAAGATGACAAAGCTGTCCACTTGTACAAGACAGAGGGTGCTGGCCAAGCAATTAAAGCCAATAATATAAATGGATGACTAGGAAAAGGAAGCGACATTCTGGTTTTCCTTACTCTAGAAGACAGGTGCTTCCAGAGGCACAAGGCATTCCAATGACAAGTAGCTAGCCCTTCAGTTTTGCATGTCCAACTGAACCACAATAATAATTAAAATAACACAAAGAGAAACTTGAATTGATGTCTCTAAGGCCCTATCAGGTTCCCTAACAACAGTCTTACAAAAGACTTAACTGGGGAGTACCAGGCTGACCGAACAGCCATTGGGAAGAAGGTTGCAGAGGCGCACAGATGTGCAAAGGAAAGAGAATGTGGTCCCCAAAGTGTGATATCCCAGGCCCATTAGGCAAGAAGATAGCAAACAGAATAATGGAATAAGCACCAGTTCTAAGCTCTCCTCTAATGAGATTTCTAGTTGATCTGTCTTGGCAGCCAAAACCCAAGAGAGGCACCAGGAGGATGGTCACCAATAATCCATGACTTGCATCACAGCAGGATGACTGCTGTGTCTAAGATTCCTCCCGCCAGGCATTTCACAGATGAGAAAAGCAACAGGATCGCAAGAAGAAGCAGTCAGCTACACGGTATGCCAAGAAATGATAGGAAAAAGCCCTCAGGGATTGAATGCACCTCGTGTTCCCATCCTTCACTGAAACTGGGGAAAAGTGATTAAACTACAAGAGATAGACAGCGATCTCCAGCAAACACGTCCTGCCTGCAGCTGTGCCCGTAGACAGGCAGGAGATGAGCCCCTGCAGCTCCTCTGCACAGGAACGCGCACATACACACTCCCAGGGACATGTCCTGCTGCAGTACTGAGTGATAGCAAAGAGCCACCGAGGCAGGGCCAAGCCGCAGAGCTGCCCCAGGAATCCCAGGAACCCCTACCTGGCTCCTCTTCCTAGAATCTGTAGGATCCTCCCCAGTTTTTGTTCCTCAGGTGAAATGGAAATCTCCTAAAGACATCCCACACCCTCACCTTTCATGCAGTTTCCCTGAAACAAGGGTGCAAACAATTGGGGTAGGAGCATTGATGTGAAACTTACATAAGATTGGGGCACACAGGGCTTCCATGGGTTGCATCCCGCCATCTTTAGGAGGAGACCCTGGCCCGGGGTTGGGAGGAGGGGAACTGAAGCAGTTTGAAGTCTCCCTCCTTTCAGCTCCCAAGCTCTGACAACACTTGGGCTGCTCACCATAGCTTTCAGGAGAGGAGGATGACCGGCGGGGTCTTGCCCCTTAGGGAAGCCCAGAGACTCCCTCAGAGAGCTGGTTCAGAGACAGTTGACCTCTGTACACCCAGGTGGCTGCTTCGGGGTTTTATAAATACTGATCCCTGAAGCCAGGCTTGGCTCAGTATGAAGAGGCAGCTTGGACAGCTAAATTGCTAGTTCAAAGCAGTTTGTTCTGACAGCCTGGGAGGCCAGGCAGCCTTGCAGACACTGCTAGTTAGTCTCAGGCAAACCTCTGACTCAATGAACCGAGGCTAGCCCAGTTCTGCTGCCGAAGCAGGAAGGGGCCCAAGACTTGACCAACTCCCTCCAGTACCAGAGTGTTTTCCTTGTCACAAAACAACCTTGGCACTCCACCAACCACCACCCTAAAGGTCAGCTCCTTTGTCATGCACTCTCCTCCACCCCCCATCCCGTTGCCAAAGCACAAATGCTCATGTTGGCACAGCCTCATGAAAAACTCCCAGGGGATGGCTTGGATTACAACTCTCAGATTTAGAAATGTTTGCGAGGGAAGGAGTGGCTTGAACCCTAGATTTCTGCAAAAAGTGGGTAAAGAAAATCCATTTTCTCATAGTTGAAATACTAGATCTGGAAAAGGCTTCCCTTCCCCTTCTTTTTCAAAGACTGTCATGACCACAATCCCAGCCAGTGGAGAGACTAGAGACCAGTTCAAGTCTTCCACAGCCCCCTGGAATAGCTGAATTTTCCAGGATACACTTAGTGAACATGGCAACCAAGACAACACAGCAGTTGACACTAATTGGCTCCCCAGATGAACACTTTGGTAGGAGCTTACACAGTTCTTACTAAAATCCTCCATCTTTCTATCTAAGCTGGGATCCAGTCCATTCCTTCAACTACCCTCATGTCATTGGGATTCCTTGTGGTCACTTTTCCGTAATACTCTAACTGGGAAAAGAGAATCAGGGAGCTAACCGCTAACTCAGACTGAAAGCCCACTCTGCACGTTCACTCCCTTGTTAACCAGAACAAGTCCCACTACCCTTTTTACAAATAAAAAAGCCGGAGCCCAGAGGGGTTTTGTCATTCGCCTGAGGTCACACCGCCAGTAAGCAGCACAGCTGCGGTCCGGTGTATCAGTGAGATGCTGGGCCACTGCTCAGGCTGACCACACTTAAGAAGGGTCCTGCTTGCTTCTGTTTCTGCTACAGCGCCTACAAATATAGTCGGACAATAGGAGAGGTCTGTCAGAGCTTCTCCTTTGATCCCGAGAACAGCGGTGAGTGGCCTGGGTCCAGCTCCGGGGAACACCAGGGAACCTGCCTGAAGATCTAGGAGGTGGCCAGCATTGCAGAGGGAGTCCTCTACACTTGCAGGAGCTGGGCATGCCTCCACTGCGGGGGGGCTTCTGAAGATAGGAAAGGATCCCGCCCACGCTCCTGACAGAAGGTGCAAAGGGCCAGACACCCCTTTCCAAGACGTGGGAAAGTGGTCATCCCAAGGCGGCCAGGGATGGAGTTCTTGTTGGATGCTATCCACAGCCCTAGGTAGGGGAGGGAGGACGGCGAGAAGTGAAGGGAGCTAGGGAATCAGAAAAAAACCTCCAAGTGTAAGACAGAAGCAGAGGCCAGCATCCCAAAGGGCTCTCAGTCCCCGTCGCTTCACAGCCGATTCCAGGCACCCCCAAAAGCGCCCTCCACAGCTGGGGGATTTACAGCGTCCCTTCTTCCAATGGCGTCCCCGCACCTCGAAGTGAGAGCTTCCCCCCAGGAGCGGAGGGGAGCCTCCCAGAGGGTCTCTGCAGCTCCGGGGGCCGCACTCTCCCTCGCCTCCCTGGGACCCCGGACCGCAGCCTCCTCCCCGCCGCAGCCCCCCGACGCTCACCTCGCTCATGTCGGCGGCGGGGCGCGGCACGCACAGGTGAGCCGAGGGGCTCGAGGGGCTGAGCGGGCGACGGAGTTTCTGTGCTCTGAGACAGGAGCCCGGCTACCCCGGAGTGCAGAGAACCGCTGCTCCGGTGCTGGCTGTGCACGTTCTCAGCTCTCAGTTCCCCGCCAAGCGTCCCCTCACGACCCCGTCCTGTCAGAGCCTTTGCCAGGAGCCGCTGGCCCCACCTTTTATAATCAGCTCCGGTACCCGCCTCCAGTCAGACCAATAGGAGCTCTTCCTATTGCAGAGTGACGGCCCTTGGCATCCAATAGTGGCAGGTCCAGAGGTCTGCTGCATTTCCAAACTAGGGTAAGACAGGCAGAGAGCGGGAAGGAGGGGGAGGCCGTCGGGGGATGAAAGGACGGAAAATCAAGTAGGGGGAGCCGTGGAAGAGAGGGAAGGACTAGTCCACAAAAGAAGGAAGGAGGCAGGGGAGAGTAAGGAGCGTGATGAGCTCAGGAAAGACAGAAAAGAAGACCTGGAAGGGAATGAAGAGGATATGCGGGAAGGAGGAAACCGGGGAAGCCAAGAGACTTGCCAGACGAAGATGTAGTAGTGGGAAGATCGGATGTATATAATGAAACAGCGGAACAAATGGACAGTGTTCTGCGACGAAGAACAGGAAAATTGTGAAAGGCCTATTTGACATGGTAGATCAGGGATCTTAGGTGTTGGAAAACACCCAAAAAGTCATCAAATCCCATCTCCCGTGAAATGCAAAAAACAAAACAAACAAACAAGCAAAAAACCCTGCACCAAAAAGATGAGCTCCTTCAGGGGTGCCAGTTCTGTGCCATGGTCAAAATACCTGTCCAGCTGTTACACCATCAGGGCTTCATGTCCTATCCCAGCTTTCTGCTAAGGCACTCCCGGGGAGGCAGCAGGTAGTGATGGTTCAAGTTCTTTGGTCTACCACCTGAGGGCACAGAGTGAGTTCCCAGCTCCTGGCTTTGGTCTGAGCCAATCCCCACTACAGTGGACATTTAGCAGTGAACCAATGGATGGAAGATCTGTCTCTCTTGTCTTGTCTCTGTGTGTGTGTGTGTGTGTGTGTGTGTGTGTGTGTGTGTGTGTTTGAAAAGCAGACTGACAGATTGAGAGAACTCTTCATTTGTTGATTTACTCCTCAGATGGCCACAACAGCCAGGTTGAGCCAGGCTGAGCAGGCTGTTACCAGGAACCAAGAATTCCATCCATGTCTCCCACATGCATGGCAAATACCTAAGCACCTGGTTCATTTTCCGCGCTTTCCCAGACACTTTGGCAAAGAATGAAACAGAAGCACAACAGCCGCCACCCCAACCAGTATTCTGATATGGGATGCCAGCATCACAAACTCCTTAATCCACTGTGCCACCACACTGGCCCTTCTCTGCCTTCAAATAAATAAAAATTTTATAAATGTAAAAATAATCCCCCAGTGTTCACAATAATATGTAATAAGCTCCCACTCAAAATTAATTTACGCAGAACCTGTATTGTGGCATAGTGGGTAAAGACACTGCCTTTAATAATGGTATCCTATATGTGTGTTCCTGGGTCTGTGGCTAAACCAAGGTGGACTTTGTCAACCAATACACCTTGGAAAAATTTTCTCAAACTTGGAGCAGCAAAACCAACAACTTCTCGGAACTATCAAAACCACTCAAGCAACACCCTTGGAACATTCTTCCCCACATCGGGGTCTCTAAAGGGTCAAAGAACAGTGCCCCATCCAGGGTGGTGATGTAGTTTGACAGCAAGGAGCGGGTCCTCCCTTCCCTTCCTTCCCTGTGAACACAGAAGAGGAAAAACAAACAAACAAACAAAAAAACACTGAACCATGTATCCCAAGCACTTTCCTCCATACCTGACCCTTCCCACCCTAATCAGAGGCCCCCCCATGTGCATGCGTTCCTCTCAACTACATAAACAACATTAAAAAGAAAGTTTAAAATTTTTAATTTTGAAGAGGAAAAAGCAATAGACCACTTGGCTTAAAAGTCAGGAACTTTCTGATGACTTTGGCTGCTACTCTTGTTCACCTGGCTCTCCTTTCTTCTTTAGAGAAATCCTCTAAATTCTCATGTTTATGATTCTCCCAGGCATTGTAAAACCTCCCCGTTTACTTACAGCTTCAGTCAGCCAAGGCCAAACACATTCAGCTTTAGCAGTTAACACCCTTCGGTTAGTTTCTTTCATTGCCTGTTATAACTAAGTCATTAATCGCTGAGCCAGAAACCAAGGATCTCTTTTCAACAGCCAGATTGCAGCAAGTCCTTGAACAACTTGTTCTAGAGCTAGATCCACTGTACTTTTACATTTTCTCCACCAGTTCAGAAGCAGAGAAGATGGAGAACAGACCATCTGCTGTCCCTTACCCACCTGAGATCCTTGGACTCTCCCTTTCCAAAAGCAAACCAGTCGCCCAAGTTACTTAGAGTCCAACTAGCATAGCTCCACTCGCGCTCGGCAGCCAGCTCCTCCAATCCCACTCCTGCCTTGCTCCTGAACAGATAATTAGCATTAAAAACAGCATCTGCAGTGAAGGAGACCTCAGCAAAGTTCTTAAACAGCTGTGAAAAGATTACAAAAAGAAGCCAAGATCCTAGGTCAGGGGTCAGCGAGCTTTTTCTGTAACATTCAGATGACAAATACTTTAGGCTTTGAAGACCATATGTAGATGGTTTTCCCAGATGACACAAGTCTCCCAGGATAGCTTAAGAGGGGCCATAGATGACATACAAACAATAGGCAGGGCTATATGATCATAAAACTGTGTTTTGAATGCTATGGTTTGAATGTCACATAATTTTCATGTATTATTGAAATACTCCGCTTTTTAAACTTTCATGTAGAACCATTCTTAGCTCTCAAGCAGCAGGCCAGATTTGGATCATGGGTCATAAATTGCCAATCCCTGTCACAGATGATTAAATGTTCAAGTATACTAAAACAATAAATTGTGTGATAATAGATAGTAATAGATCAAAGATGAAAGATGTCAACTAGGAGCCAAATGAGTCAAAAGTTTCCTGGGGGAGTGAGATTTAGTGCCACCTTACAGGAATATTGGAGAAAGGAAAAGAGGGAGGAAAGAAAGATGTGCTTCTCTGGAATTGGAATCATAACAACAGAAAAATAATGAAAGAAAATTCAAGTTCATAGTGAAGTCTGAAGAGATTGATCAGAGTATCCTAAATGTCAGGATAAGAACTTTAAGATTAATCAGCTGGTGGCTACGGCCATACCACCCTGAATGCGCCCGATCTCGTCTGATCTCGGAAGCTAAGCAGGGTCGGGCCTGGTTAGTATCTTGGATGGGAGATTAATCAGCTGGGAAGGCGTTACACACGGTAAGCCACCACTTGCTAATACAGGCATCCAGGATCAAAGTGGCTCTTCTATTTCCAGTCGAGCTCCCTGCTAAGGGGCCTATTGAAAGCAGTGGAAGGTGGCTCAAGTGCTTGGGCTCCTGCCATGCATGTCAGAGACCTGGATGGATTTCTTAGCTCCTGCCTTTGGACTAGCCCAGTCCTGGCTATTGCAACTGCATAGGGGGTGAAACTTTCATTTGTTCATGTATGTAGGAGTGTATTTGTTTGTTTACTTATTTATTTATTTCAAACGCAGAATAACAAAAGATCTTTCATCTGCAGGTTTACATCCCAAGTGACTGCAAAGGTTGGGGCTAGACCAAGCTGAAGCCAGAAGTCAGGAATTCCATCCAGGTCTCCCATGTGGGTGGTAGGAATGTAAGTATGTGGGCCAAGATCTGCTGCCTCCCAAGCACATTGGCAGAAAGCTAATGAGAAGTGCAGAGTAGATGGAACTCTAACTGGCACCAATACAGAATGCAGGCAAACCAAGCAGCTTAATCCGCTGTGCCGCATTGCTGGCCCCGGGGGGAAAGACTTTAATTTTCTTTTTTTTTAAGATTTATTTTATTTTTATCACAAAGTCATATATACAGACAGGAGCAGAGACAGAGAGGAAGATCTTCCATCTGATAATTCACTCCCCAAGTGAGCGCAACGGCCGGTGCTGTGCTGATCCGAAGCCAGGAGCCAGGAACTTCTTCCAAGTCTCCCATATGGGTACAGGCTCCCAAAGCTTTGGGCCGTCCTCGACTGCTTTCCCAGGCCACAAGCAGGGAGCTGGATGGGAAGCAGGGCTGCCGGGATTAGAACCAGCGCCCATATGGGATCCTGGTGCTTTCAAGGCAAGGATTTTAGCCGCTAGGTCACTATGCCGAACCCTAAGCTTAATTTTCACACAAATAGCATTTCTAGATTATTCTGAGAATATATAGGATTGATCTGACAAGACAAATATCAAGAGTGGGGAGGCCCACATGGTAATGTTGCATTTCTATAAAGTATGGATGTATGAGAGCATCAGCAAGTATGATGACAGTGACAGAAATGAAGGTGCGGCATAAGAAACATACGACAGAAGGAATCAATAAGGCTTACTAGCTAAGACAGTTTAAGGGAAGATTCAATGTGGCTTTTGAAATTTAAGAACCTGAGAAAATTACTGTGTCATTCATCATTAGGTCCACTTTATGGCCAAGATCTGTGCTAGGTGTTTGATACTAGGTGTTAGAAGCAAAAACATTTCTTGCAACACGGAACTTAAATCTAGTAGGAGACAGTCACCTGATTGCCAAGGCAAGATTCCATTACAGGTACCATGAAAGAGAGCTGGTCCAGGAGAGCAGGCATTTAACCTGAAAACTAAGACCCCTACACACCGCAGCAAGAGTTCCCGGGCCTGATTCCAGGCTGCATCTCCTGCCTCTAGCTTCCCGCTCAGATAAATCCTGAGAGTCAGTAGTGATGGAACAAGGAATTGGTTCCTGCCACTAACGTGCACCAGCCGACTTGCCTTCTTGGCTTCCAGCTTCGGCAGTACCTGTTGTAGGCATTTCATCTGTACACCTGCAAATTCTCTCTCTCTCTCTCTCTCTTCCCTCTCTCTCCTTCACACCCAGTCTCACAATTTAAAAAAAAAAAAAAAGTGTAGGCAAGAGTAGTGGCAGTGCAGAGAAAGGAACGGAGCGGGATTTAACCCACTGAGGCATCAGGGGTGACCGTGAACAGCAGGAATTCATGGTACTAGAGTAGTATATTTGGGAGGCAATCACATACTGAGATGAAGAAAAATGAAATAAAACACATAAAAGTACTCTGTAAACTGTGATGTTAAAACGTTAGCTATTTTTACCTTTTACCAGAGTTCTGTAAATAGATGAGTCATTAGGGAAGAACAGAGAAGAAGGATGGGAAGGTTGTTTCAGCCCTAGAGAAAAATTCGTGCTCTTTCTTCATCTATAGGCTTCAGAAAAGAGACCGTTGGAGAAGAAACAAAGGAAAAACTGAGTTTTAGGAATAGAGTTGGAGAAGCAAAAACACATACCATCACAGAGCTCAGGGAAGCAAAGTTTCAAAGAGGAGAATGTGGTAGTCAGGTGGGGGTCAAAGGCTGCGGGGAAGCTGAGAGGGGAACATAAGAGAAATTCCACTGAATTCAACAGATTACAGCCCATCCTTGGTGACTTTAAAGAAGATTAAAAACAGATTATAAGGCTCAGATAAAAGCAACCCTTCCTGTTCAAAGAACTGTTTGTGCTAGTACTTGAAATACCAAACAGGATGGGTCAAGCCTACCCTGGAAATTTCGCTCAATGGACACTGTTAGATTTGCCAACCACCAGGGAAAGAATAACTCAGCCAAATACTTGAAAAGAATTTAGATGGCTTCCGGCTTCCCTTCCCGGTGCAGCAGAAAGGACAGACATGAAGGAATGAGCTGCAGAGGAAGAAGAGCGAGTAGAAGAGACAGGGAGGGGGTTTCTTAACTCTCCTTGACACAGAAGCCGACACAGGGGTTGCCTCAGCCCTTATTGGTGGGGCAATATAGGTCTGTGCCCCTCATTGGTATAATGTTGGTCTCCCAGCCTGAGAGGCCCACCAAAATTCTGCCATTTGTTTCAGGTTTGGTTGGAGGTAAACTCCGCCCTTCTCCAACCACCGTGGTAGCCATCAGACACCTGAGTGAGGTCAGCTGGATGTCAAGTGCAAAAAAAATGACAGGTAGAAACAAGCAGCAGGTGAAATGGCTCAGGAGTCAGATGGGATCAGGAAACAGACTAGAATACTGACAGGAATCCTGCCAGAAAGATAAGACTGCCAAGGATGATCAGCTGTGAAGGACAGCAGCAAACAGGGAAAAAGGGACATATCCAGACAGCACAGCAGTGGAATACAGGTGCTAGCCAGTTGCACGGCACAAGGTAGGTACCCAATGGAATAACCTGTCTTTTCAATAGTTATTGAATAAATGAATGCCACAAATAATAGCATTTGATGCCACATGAGAAATACATGAGTTTGCAATCAGATTTTTCATTCATTCACATCCTAACGCATTGATTCACTCCATCAACATTTATAAAATGGGCCTGCAGTACATAAAACCCTGAAGATCTAAAAATAAAAGATACAGCTCTGGATTTCCACACCTCAGAGTCAGAAAGAAACCTTTGTTTTTCCATGTGAAGAGTTCTATGGCAAATGTGTGCCCAGAGGCTAACCCACAGGCTCCCAGAGGGGATTTGCTGACCAAGAGGACCAGTGGAAAGTGTTTAGAAATAAGGATGTCAGGCAGTTCCCAGAAGGAACAAAAAGGACAGATGTTCAGAGGTGAGTGAGCACAGCTTGTTCAAGGAACTCTAAATACATGAGCACATCTAGAGCCAAAGTATGATGTTGCTAGGTCAGACAAAGGAAGCAAGGATGGAATAAAAGAGGCCACAGTGATGAAAAGGTCAAGGGAAGGGACAGTAGGTGAAGATACAGAGAACTTTGTGTGACATGCAAACAAGATTGGATTTTCTCCTGAAGGTGATGGCAAGCAAATAAAGAATTTTAAGTAGGGAAAAGACAAGAAGACACAGACATGATCAAATTTGCATTTTTGAAATAGCAACAGCATGAAGGATGGGTTGAAAGGAGATGAAGCAGGAACCAGGGAAAATTCTTCTGGTAAAATTCATAAGGTAAAATGCAAGATAATAATAATACATATATGAGGGCTAGAACTTCACTAAGAGATAAGTGGGCAAGTGGTCAGGAGCCAGGAATAAAAGATCATGATAGGGTCTGGCGTGATAGCATAGCAGTAAAAGATCTCGCCTTGAACACACTGGGATCCCATATGGTTCTAATCCCACTGGTTCTAATCCCAGCAGCTTCACTTCCCATCCACCTTGTGGCCTTCAAGGACAGCCCAAAACTCTGGAACCTGCATCCATGTGGGAGACCTGGAACAGGCTCCTGGCTTCAAATTGGCTCAGCTCCAGCCATTGCGGCCACTTGGAGAGTGAACTTTTGGACGGAAGATCTTCCTCTCTGTCTCTCCTCTTCTCTGTATATCTGACTTTATTTTTTATTACAAAGTCAGATATACAGAGAGGAGCAGAGACAGAGAGGAAGATCTCCCGTCTGATGATTTCACTGCCCAAGTGAGCGCAACAGCCGATGCTATGCCGATCCGAAGCCAGGAGCCAGGAACCTCTTCTTCTGGGTCTCCCACGCGGGTGCAGGGTCCCAAAGCTTTGGGCTGTCCTCAACTGCTTTCCCAGGCCACAAGCAGGGAGCTGGATGGGAAGTGGAGCTGCCGGGATTAGAACCGGCGCCCATATGGGATCCTGGTGCTTTCAAGGTGAGGCCTTTAGCCGCTAGGCTACACCGCCGGGCCCAAAATTAAATCTTAAAATAAAAGGTCCTGACAGCTGGTCATTTTTAATGAGTGGAAAGAGAAAGAAAAGAGACCAGGTGACAGCTTCCCTAGCTTCTACCTGCTTCCAGGATAGAGTGGAGGCATAGGAGGAAGAAAGAGGGTAAAATAATAAATAAGTATCGACTTCCTTCCATGTCCTAGGCACTGTGCATGAAATTTTACATACATTACTTTACTTCGTGTTCCCTACCATTCGGGATGAGTATAACTTTTCTTAACAAGAGAAATGTAATTCAGATAACTCAGCCTACCAGGCTGCAAAATGGCACAGAGCCTGACCTGAGTTAGACATATTGGAAGAAAGTGGAGCTATGAGTTAACCCTAAGAGTCCACTCAGCATGGTTGCCAGGGCCTCCTGGGGCAGCTTCCGGTCTCCCTCTGCTCCCCAGGAGGGAGTGTGGAGATGGGGAGCATCTCTGTACACTGAAGCACTCAGAGGTCTGTCTCGAAGGCAACCCCATCTCAGAGAACTGCAAGGTGGCCTTCCTCAAACAGAACAGGCTCAGGGTAATTCTCAGAGTCCAGGTGAAGGGCAAGTTGTCCAGCCAGCTAAGAGGCAGACGTAAGCATTCAGTGCTGATCCAGGAAGAGGAGGCCTCCCTTCCCTGAGCTGGGGTGTCTGATTCCTACAGCTCCAGGGTACTGGGTCTCAGTCATGTCTGTTAAGGAGGGAGCAAAATAAGTAATTCAGCCAGTAAGAATTAGAGTCAGCATTTGAACCTAAGGCTATATGACTCCAAAGTCTATACTTTTGTTGATTTGTTGCATTTGGATAGCCAGTAATTTAGGTAATACAGAAGTTAGTTTGAGGTGAGTTGGCAATGAGATCTATTTTGGATGCATTGAATTTGAGATCTCTATTTGGTATCCTGGTTAAGTCCGCTGATAAACTGTTGGGTATTTTGGTCTTTGTATAATTAAGGATAAGAATGTAGGATACCTACATCCTCAGGTATGTCTGGTTCAAGTCCCAATTAAACTATACTTCTGATCCAGCTTCCTGTTAATGTGCCTGGGAGGCAGCTTTTGATGTCCCAAGCCTAGCACTGGAGTGCCCACAGTGCCCCTATGAAGCCTGCTCCCATCCTCAGATCCTGTACCTATCAGGCAGTACTGCAGTCCAGCCTGGCATGCCAGGACTCCAGTCTCAGCACTTGCCAGCAAATACTGTGACCGAGTCGTACCAACCCTCACCCATTTTGGCTTTAATATGCCCCAGCAAGTACAGCAGCCTAGACCAGCCTGGCTTACCCACAGTCCCAACTCTCATACTCACCAATGGAAGCAGTGGCCTAGTGGAGGGGTTCCCCAAGTTCTCCTACCAGGCTTTCTCCCAGCCCAGGGTCTTGTGCATGCCAGTGGGTACTGCAGTCCAGTCTGGAATAACTGCCCCCAGTCTTGGGATTTGTTGGCAAGTGGTACAGCCTGGCTTAACCTAGCCTACCCCAGTTCAAGCTCTCAGCAGAAAGTATGGTAGTCTAGGACAGTCTGACCCAGCCTGACTCACTCCCAGGTTCAGTCCTTGTATTAACTATCAGGTGTTGTGGTGCAACCTGGCCTGGCCTGCAAGCCTCCTTGGATCTCATTCATGTTAGCATATACTGCAGACTGGCCTAGCCCAAC